GGGCTGGGTGGATGAAAAGGGGGGGCGGGGAGTGTTGGAGCTGCTACCTCCTGGGTCGAGGGTGAGGCAGAATGGAGAGGACACAGATAGCCACTAAATGCTTTGATTAATGAGCCACTTGCCATTTAGTTGGCTCGTTAATGAACTGCTTCGTGCCTGTTTGCTTGATTTTTAACGCGTTTGAGGCCGAACTTTGAAGTGAATATTTTTCATTTCTTATAAAACGAAATGAAAAAGATTCTGAGTTTTATGTAAACACAACCAGCAGATCTTCCTTGAGAACTCTTTGCACACGACTCGAGGAAGCTTAGAGGAATAGTTTTGGGAAAATCCATTTGTTTCGAATGGGTTAAACTCGATTCATCATCTCTGGTTAGCTTAGCTTTGCACAAAGACTGGAACCAAAGGGAAACAGCTAGCTTCGGTCACCTCTCCTAATTTACACGTGTGACTCATTTTTTTTTTGTACAAATTATACAAACTAAAGGCCAGATCCTAGAGATTGTTGGTTGAAGAAGCACATTTCTGAACAGTTAAATCTGGTTTATAGGCGCTCTTAAAGTCTTCTGTCCTCTCCGACGCCCCACCCTCTCCCCGTTCCAGTCAGCTCATGGTTGGTTCTGTATTGTGCTGTGAATCGCCATCTCATCCTCATCTCAGCTGAGCTACAGTAGAATACAAAAGAAAAAAAAAGTTACCTTCAAGGCTGCAGCACTGTTTGTCAAAAATAACTGAATGCAGTGTGTGTGTTTGTGTGTGTGCGTGTGAGAAGAACTGAAGGGTTTCACTCCAAAAATAAAACACTGGACCATCTCGTAAAAGCTTAATGGACGTCTCGTTTTGAACCCTTCGCAGTTAGAATCCTCTGTACCTCTCAGAGGAAAAGATTTTTTTCCCCTCGAGTATTCTCAGATTGTTTGGAGTAAAACTGAGCCACAGCTCATTCAGCCACCTCTTCTTGTTGGGGCAGACAGCTGTGTTTGGATTACAGCTGTAATTCAKCTCTTTTATCTTCCCAGTTTCTCCTGGAGTTATTCAAAGTTTCCAATGATCTGAAACATATAAATAATATTGATCCTTCACATGAATCTGAGGTACTCTGAGAACGGAGATCTTTTCTTTTGGTGTTTCATCTCACGATCTACATGTGTGTTTGTACTGTGACCTACTGTGTTTGACTGCCTTAGTCTCCCGTGGAGAGAGGGGCATCATGGGAGCTTGTGGACACTACACTGTGATTGGTTGTCCTCCTTTTACATCGCACAGGAAGTGAGTTCAGGCTCATCRTTTCAACCAAGGAGGAGCCATGTCTCGGTTGTAGCATCTCTTTTTATTTTGTTTCAACCCTCCCTTCCCCCCGAGGAAAAAAAATATATACTTTTATCGTCCATTTTACACATTTTGATGATTTGATCTTGTTTTGTTTTGTTAGGTTTTTTTTGTAACAATTTTTGGACATTTTCAAAAAAAAAGACATGATGCAAAACAAAAAAAGATGAGAAAACAGAATGGGGCACAAGATGAGTCATTTCAAAATAAAACTTGATTTTTTTTTTCCAAAACCTGCTCACTGAAGTGTATTTTTTTTGTGTGTCTGAAGATTAATTTGTTTTAAAACAAAACCTGCTGAAGATCATTTTCTGGTTAGGGTTGTAAATTTACTGCGWTGTTGTGTCTCGGGCCAGTCGGGCGTTTCGGATCTGTGAGTTTAAGGTTGCARATTCAGGTTTTCACAGTTTTAAACTGTCAGTGTCGCCATGAAAAGTTAATGTTTTCGCTCTCRTTTGGTCAGCAGAGTAACCTGAGGTTCCTGGGTGGATGAGCGTAACACGATGAGGTAACAGGAGTGTTTCTGGACTAAAGTCCACACCGCAGCTCTCTGAGGAGCTTTAGGGACTTTCAGGCATTCCAGTGTTTTATATTTTTTTATGTTTTCAGTCCAACTTTTCATCCAAATCCCAAATGTCATGTTTTTAAATCCTGCTAAATGCACAGATATTAMGTTTTTAGTTTGTTCAAGTTACTTATTAAAACCAGAAAGTAATCCTGTTGGATTTTACCCCCTGAGACTACGACCGGTTAATTATCTCCATCAAATTACAACTTTTTTGGAAATGTTCTTATCTATGGCAACTCAGATATAAAAAGGGAATACATTAGTTCTTTGTGCTACATTTCTCTACAAAATTAATTAAATTCTGATCTCATTGAGTCTCTCCTCACAACATCAGTGTGTCCACACACAGATGATGGATTTTCAATAAAGAGCCCTAATTTGGCCAGYAGTCTTGTCACTTTGGATGATGTCAGCCTGAGCGACAGGTTCTGGTGGGTTTCAGGTCAGTCGATGGCTCCCAGCTGTTCAGATCCAGAGTCAGCGTGTCGTGGGTTATCCTGTCGGCTGGATGGATTGTTCCTGTGTTTTGGTGACTCAGCCTCTGATCAGACATTGCTGCTGAATGACTGCGGGTTTGTGTCTGAGAGGCAGGATGGGTGGTTTCTCAGATCTTTGGGGACTAATAGGAGGGTTGCACAAACACAGAGCTCTGTGTGGGGAAATCAGGATTCAGAGTCATCTAAAGTCAGTGGAGGCCGGTCGTTCTGGGCTATTATGTTTTCTTAGAAGTCTGTCAGATGAGAAGTGAAACACCTTCAAGAAGCAAGAAGAAAACACTTCCTGTACAATAARAATCAATGTACAAATTTGTCCCAGTTTACACAACGTTTTTAATTAAACCCACTGCTGCATTTCGGCCATTCGTGTTCACAACAACAGCAGCCGTTTTCTCAGACACTGAAGGTTTTTGAATCCAGGTTTCAGAAGTGGAGGTTTAAAATGTTACCAACACATTTTCATTATTTAGTTCCCTGTCTAAGTGTAAAATCCTAATTTCCACTAATATTTTATTGTTATTTAGCTCACTGCTCTTACATTTAGCTATTTTTAAATAAATGTTCAACTTAAATGGTACCGGTAAATCCTAAACCTAAATGTAAAAATTAAATCCTACATGTTGCAGCTAAATGCTAAAGCTCACATTTAAATGTTTCAGCTTGGTCGTTTTGACATCACCATCCTACGACAAAAGCAAACACTGATGCTGCTAACTGCTAATGCTATTTGCTAACGCTGCTGAAGATAGCATTTAAGGTTTTTATTCAAAACGTGTCAGTTGAAAACAATATGAATGGTACCTGTGGTCTGGCAGCAAAGGCTGTGTTTCATTCTGAAAACTTAAATTTTAACTTCAACATTTAGCTGCAACATTTACATTTAACTTTTGCATTTAGATTTATTTATTTATTTACTTGTTTAAATATTAAGTTTCTTGAACTGGAACCTGAGTCCAGTTTCGTACCACAAACATGGAAATGTAAGCTGGTATGACAATTAAAATATCCCTGAATCCTTGAATGTAGCAAAAATTTGAAAAATGTAAGAACAGTGAGCTAAATAAAACAATAAAATAACAATAAATTTGAATTTACACTCAGAAAGTGAAATAATGAAAAGGAGTTAGTGATTTTTTTTTTACATTTTATTTTACACCTGGCACCCAGTAGGTTTCGAGAGAAACCACTACTTTTGGTGAAATCACACGTGGATGGCTGCAGTCAAGAGTTTTTCTGCACTTGTGTAAGTAGATGTAGGCGTAAACATTTTTGTGATTCACTTGCTAATTTCCATTTTTGAATGCTTTACCAAGGAACGAAGGTGAGTGCAGATGGATCGATTAGTGAGACTCGGTCTTTTCAGTGCAGACGTGGAATGTTGGCATGCAGGACTTGTAGGAGTCCAAACAAGGACTGTCAGATCTGTTCCTGCAGGGCCRTACTGAGATCCTTCCTGCATTCCTCTGACCTCCTCCTCACTGCTCCTCAGCCTACAGCGAGTCATGAGGAGAAAAGACAGGAATTGTCTTCTTGTGTAGATTCGCTCCTCTGCACCAGTTCAGCGTCAGAGCTTATTGGAAACCAGACATTACTGCAACTCTCATGGATCAAAGTCCTTATTTGTGTTTCAGTTTGTCTGTTGTACTTTCAACACGTCGGGACAAAGGGAGCTGAAAATCCTGGCGCTCCCTTGTTTAGCACCTCAGAAACACAAATGTGAAGTTTCGCAAACAGACTGGTGGAAACATGTTGCTCAATTCAGATACAGAACCTGACATCTGAACCATCATTCTGTCGTCAGACTCTGGAGAAKTTGATTGATTTCAGCGTTTAGGCCGTATGTGTGTGACACCTGCTAACTCCAGCCTAAACCTCTGATTCATTCCTGTTTGGCTGTAAATGGGAAGAAATTKCACAAAATTAGCACAATAAAATGGGAAAACTTACCTCCTGCTGGTATTATTAGATGGTTTGTTTTGGCCACCACCCCTCACACTCAGTCAACTGTAGGATTATTGTGCAAATGCTGATTCAGCACTCGCAATTTTTTTTTACAGTTTTTCATCTAACTACTTCTGCATATTTTGTCCTTTTTTAGCAATTTAAATATCAGTGCAATAGATGCTAATACACTTTATGATAATAATAATTACAATAAACTTTGTGTTTATTGTAATTATTTGGGATCCAGATATGAATTTATGAATTTTTCAACAACAAAATAAATTAGTGCTGTGAAGATAATCCAACCTGAAGACCCGGAGAGAGATTAATAACCGAGGTTAAAATAACAAGGGTTTGGAAATTGATGTTTATTGACTGAAGAAGGCTGAAGTGAGTGTCGGGACTCCTTTAGACGCCTTCATGTGAAAACGGGGGGCGAGGAGATGAGAGCATGAATGAGTGGATCCACACAGCTCCTGTGKGCCAACGCCACACAGTGTTGGCACAGAGAGCCCATTGTCAGAAACTAACGAGCTGAGGGGCTGCTTCAGTCTCCCATCCTAAATGAGCATCTGTTTACTGAGTTTATAGAGTGGTCTGAGGCTGAGGCCCAGAGCTGACAGCGGGGCGTCCTCTTCCTCTGATGTCACCTCGTGTACGATGGAGAATTCTGCCATTTCACTCCTTTTGTTCCCCCCACCCCACACACACACACACACACACTTGTTATTCCAATCTATGCATCCAAGTCTCTTTCTGGTTGTAATTAAACCGTAACTCTCAGCTCAGCATGGATCATTTATTCATCGTAAACGTTGCAGTGAAAAGGTCAACCGTCTGTGTGCTCTTTACCAGAGCGGTTCAGACGCTGACATCCAGAGCAGAGATTTTCTCTGGGTCACGGCTCGGGTCGAACGTGGAGAGAAATCAGGCGCTGAGCTGTAAATTATAGCTTCAATTAATGATCTGAGGCCTGCTGTGATGTAAACCTCTGTTTGAATGTGTAAAAAGTTAAGTTTAGCAGCACCTCAGCTTGATTTCAGCATATCTTTGTTTAGACACAGGAGGATAAACAAACGATTTGTGTTTTTGAATCTGATCCATCTGTGGGTGTCATTTTACACACTCAAAGAAACAAAATGTTATTAAATGGATGAAAACTACTACACTCAGCTGTAGAGATGTTTAGGAGGTATAAAAATGATTTTACATTTAATAACTTTTAAGAGTAGTTTTACTACACCTTACTTTTTACTTTACTTGAGTAATATTATTATGAAGTATCACTCTTACCTGAGTAAAATTTCTAAATGCTCTAAAGAAGAAAAATGTTTTAACCAGAAATTCACCAGAGAGACATGTCCACTGCCCTTGCTGAAGTGAGACCTCCTTTTTGTAAACAAGCTTTGTTGTTCTGATCAGAGTTTCATTATAACTAATTTACTTTGTAATTAAGTAATTATTTTAAGGATTTTTACCAAGTTTTTTAAATAATAACTTTTACTTTCATTTCATTACTTCTTTTACTTTATAATTTAACACCTAGTCGCATGTTATAAATGGGGATTAGTAAATATAAAGCAATTTACATATTTTCTTTAAAAGAAAATATGGAAACTTGGTTTAGTGGAACCGGTTTGGTTAAGTAAATTCAACACTTTGTTTTTTTAGAGCGTATGTAAAAGTACTTTTACTCTCCCAATTATTGTGAGCAGTTTTATGACTTTTACTTAAGTACTTTTCTAATCAGTGATTCATTTTTACCAGAGTCATTTTCTGTTAAGGTGTTTTACCTTTACTTGGTTATTTTTCTCAAGTACTTTTCTTCAATGTCATTTACTGTCAGTATTAGATTTTGAATTTCATAATGAGAACATTTTGACTTTAAAAGTGTTTCTTCTTCTGGAATGGGTTCATTTCTAGTTATGTTATTTATTTGTTTTAATTTTCTTCATTTTTGTTTTTAAAAACACCTGAATTTTCACATAACTTGATTTTTTTTTGTCAGTCTGATGACATAATTTTAAAATATT